TCACCCATCTGTATCTTTCACTGTTTTTGTTCAGCATCTTCTCCTACTTAGTATTTGATCCACTTCTCTAATTTTCCTCTGTAGCTTAGGGTTCCAGGATTATCACTCATACCTGTTTCAGTTGGTCTCCTGTGTCTTTGTTGTAGAGTGTGTATATAACATGTCTGCCTTGTTTGCTGGGTGTTTATATTTTATATGTGTGTTTTATTTTATCTTGGGGTTACTTTTTTTCTCTAATTTTATATTGAATTGAAAAATCAAATTTTTGGGATATTCTGTTAAAAATTTACATTCAGTATATGGAATATTAATACAAAAATATACATTTAACTAAGATTATATTCGAAATAGAAAAACTATGAATGGTATTTCACAATTTCATGCCTTAGGACTATTTTAATAGGTAAAAGACTGTCTCTAGATGGGATGGAGGTAAATAGAGTATATGCTCAACCTTGGAACAACAGGGCTCTGTGATACAGGGATCAAGGCATCGTCTGAATGGGCAAAAGAGGGGAAATAATGTTAAGATGTTTAACTGTCTTAAGAATATTGATGTCTCTTGCCTATTAATATAAAATAGACACTTGAGTGGAATAAAAAGGAGTATCGGGAAACATGATTACTGAAAACTTGTAATCCCACCTTCAGCCTCATTGGAATACATAAAAGGGGTTCTAGAACTTGCCCAGTGAAATAGGGTTCTTGCAGAGCCTTTGTAGTATATAGGAACTTAGGTGGAACCTTGAGCCCCATTCGAACCCTTCTGAGGTGGGACAGTCCCACTTGAAAGGACATACAAATCAGCCTGGAGTGGCTAAAGGAACAGAAGATACTTCTTGAAAGAAAGACCAGCAGGGAAAATCAAAAACAAAAATGATAGTTTGACTGGCTACTCTAAGGACAAGCAAGTTCACCGGAAAGCCATCAAGGCAAGCAATCAAGTCCCATCAGGACAAACCCCCCTCCAAGACTAAAACTCAAATGGATCACATGAGCAGTCATGAAGCTTACTGGTGACTATGTTGGTCTGCTAGTGAGTGGAAGAGAGGGAAAAGCAGCAATGAAGATATGGGCTAAGTTTGACCATGTTCCATAGACACCTGTTAACCTGGAGATGAAAGAGAGAAGAGGAAGGGCTAGTTGGTCTGAAGTATGGTGAGACCTGGGGACTCCTGAGCCCATGGACAAGGACATAGCCACAGAGGGCTAGAGCTGAGAGTGAAGCATATAGCTGACATGAAATGAGGGGAAACACACACAAGAACACCAAACTTGCAGATAGTACCCATTTGACCTAGCTTCAATGGCCTGATGATCACAACTCAACTAGAAGAAGATAAAAAAATTTGATAAAGGAAACAAGTGTAAATTGCTACAATTTGATGGACTTGACCTATACTTATAGATGTAGTAGCTCAGAATACCAACTGAGAGGGAAGGAGTCTTCATCCTACCCCCTCTGTACACCGGGTTGATAGGGACGGGCAACTTAGACATTGGCTACCTAAAATGGGTGGGCTACAAAGGCATGGGGTGACTGGCTTACAAGTTTTCAAGAGGAAGTTTAGTTTCAGAGTGCGCAGGGGAAGGTAGAATCCCCATTGAATAGTTTTCATCTTGTCTAGACAGATGTGGTGCAAGGAGATGGGGATCAGATTCTTATGATTTAATAGTGAGTAATTGTTATCAAAAAGGGGGGAGTAGTTAATCTTATAGTCAAAGAACAGAAGACCCTAGGACCATCAAGGGAGAAGAGCACCAGCAGAATGTGGGACCCTATCCAGAGAAGCAGCGACACCAGAGATGGAGGCAGAGATGATGACATGAAGAGACAGAGTAGCTGAGGACTCCAGACTCATGGAAAGATAAAGATTGTGTGCTGGTGTACAGGAAGTAGACTTGCAGAATGTGCCCTTTGGTTGTTTAAATGATTATATGTTCCTGAGTGGTTTTGCGTACATTAAAAAAACAAAAAAACAGAGGGAATAGAAGCAAATACTGTTGAATGATGGATGCATGGAGGGGATTGTAATCATTGCAATGAAACGAAATATGATAGAATGAGTGTAAAACTGATGTTCTCCCATGTAAACGATCACTCAATTCTCAATAAAAACTTAAAAAAAGACAGTCTGTAAACTATAAAGCAAATAAGGGAAAAGCTCAAGTAATGAAATTATTCTTGACAGTGCTAAACTTAGATAAAACTAGATTACCATAAATTGATAGAACAGAAGTTGAAGAAACAATCTTAAAAATTAAAATTAACAGAAAAAAAAAAAAGATTAGATAAATGCCATTGTTGTTGTTAAGCAAACTTGAGTCAGTCCGACCATAGTGAGCCTGTATAGGGTTTCAGAGGAGTTAAGTATTATAAATAAAAACCTTTCAGACCTTAGAGCAACCAGTGGAAAGAACATGAAAAACAAGTTCCAGTCCATCGTGCTAAATATAAGAAGTTAGGCAGAGACAGAACACTTATGTAAATTGTTGCTATTAAGTGCTGTCGAGTCGATTCCAACTCATAGTGACCCTGTATAGAGTTTCAGAGGAGCGACTGGTGAGTTTGAACTACCAGCTCTGAGGTGCAAACTGACCTTGTGGGCCAGTGCTTACCTTAGAAAAACAAGACATAAGGAGAAACTCTTGAATTAGGAAGAAGTGGAGAGTGAACAAATGCAACTGGGTGGATGGAATGGCTTGGAGAGACTCCCCTTTGTCAAGAGTATTCAGAATCAGTATCTTATATGTGAGAATTATAGGTGTTTGATTCCAGCATGACTTTAAAAATAGTTTTTACATGATTTTATAAAAACTTTAAGTTTTCTCAAGATCAGCGTTTTAATATGTGCACAAGAAACTGAGGATATTTTTTTGATAAGTGCTAAAACCTACAGTGATCAATTTTGATTGGTCTTTCTCCTTCCTAACGAGCACTGGTGGCACAGTGGGTTAAGCACTGGGCTGCTAACCTACAAAGTCAAAGGTTCAAACTCACCAATCACTGGGAGAAAGAAGCAGCTATCTGTCCCATAAAGACCTATAGTCTCAGAAACCAATAGGGTTACTATGAGTCAGAGTCAAGGACAGGGGTTTTAACTACCTGAATTTTAGTGGGATTGCAATCAGATACCTGGCTGCCGGAAGAAAGCAGCAGAGCAGCAAGAACCATTTAAATCCCGTTAAATTTCAGAAACATTTTGCTTGGTCTTTCTGAAACATGTTGCAGATAATTAGCAATGAAGTGATTCTTATCTTGGATATTTTTCTAGTAAGATTCCCAACCTCTCTGTAAAAGTAAAGGTAATAATAAAACCCATTTTAGAGTCACTGGGAAGATTGTTGTTGTTGTGTCAGTTCCAACAGTAGCTGGTGGGTTTGAACAGCATCAATCAGCCCAGTGCTTAGCCTAGTGTCACACTAGAATTTCATTTTGTTGCTGTTGTTATGTGTCATCAAGTAGGTTCCGACTCATAGCTACCTTATGCACAACAGAATGAAATACTGCTTAGTCCTGTGCCATCCTCAAAATTGTGAAGCTTGAGTCCATTGCTGCCCCCACTAGGCCATTTGATCTCATTGGAGGCCTTCTTCCTCTTTTTCACTGACTCTCCAATTCATCTACTATGATGTTGTATTTCAGGGACTGGTCCCTCCTGATAATATGTACCAAGTATGTGAGACCAAGTCTCACCATATTGGGTTCTAAGGAACACTGGCTATTTGTCTTCCAACAAAGATTTGTTTGTTCTGGCAGTCCTTGGTACTTTAATATTCTTCTCCATCACCATAACTCAAATGCATCAACTCTTCTACAGTCTTTGTAATTCAACTTTCACATGCATATGAAGCATCTGAAAATACCAAGGCTTGGGTCAGCCACAATTTAGTTCTCAACTGACATCTTTGCTCTTGAACATTTTATAGAGTTCTTTGTCTAATAATGCACTATGTCGTTCGATTTCTTGATTGCTGCTTCCATTAGTGTTGTTGGTGGAGCCAAGCAAAATGAAATCTTTGACAACTTAAAGTTTTTCTCCATTTGTCACGATTTATTGGCACAATGGTGAGGACTTTTGTTTTCTTTACATTTCTCTACACCTCAATGTACTGGAAAACAACCCATACTGAAGGCTGTGGTCTTTGATCTTTATCAGTGAGTATTTTAAGCCCTCTGCTTTCAGCAAGCAAGATTTTGTTATCTGCATATCTGCAAGTTAATGAAACTTCCTTCAATCCTGATGTTACGTCGTTATTCATATAATCCAGTTTGCCGGATTATTTGCTCAGCATACAGATTGAATAAATATGGTGAAAGTATACAACTCTGGCGCACAGGAGAAATAAATGGGATAATTAAATGTGAAGCGCTTAGCACAATGTTTGGCTACAGTAAGCACTTTTATTCTTCAAATAAACAATGAATAATTGCTATTATTGAAAATTTATATACACATTTTTTTTTTACCTTTGCAGCTTCAGTCAACGATCAAAAAGAGGAAAAGTTGCAGAACGCGACTATTTCTGATTCCTCCGTACTAGACAATTATTAATATTTAAACGGTCCACGAAGGCCCTGAAGCTCCGCATCAACTCGAAGGAGCCTTTCTGCCAGGCTCTGGCCTCGGAGAGTTTTCAGTCGAGGACTGAGTGGCCCTGGCACCACACTCGCTCCTCTCCCTTCCTCTTCACAGAAGGCGGCGGTGCTAATGCCACGCGCACGCCGCCTACTCTCTAGGTCTAACGGCGCGTGCCTCCCGCTGCCGCCCGGGGCGCTAGAAAGCTCGGTTGCGGAGGTGTCGCAAAAGCGTCGTAAAAGCTTCCCTCCTTGGCGGCTTCAGGCCACCTGTATAAGCGGAGCGTGCTGGGCTTTCAAAACTAGTATGGAGGAAGGGAAAGCTGAGATTTCCTGGGGTTGCTGGGACTCAATGGAGGAGCGGCTCGTTGGTGCCCCGGACTGCTGAGATTTCGCCGCCTGAGTCCCCGCGGCACGGCCGCAGGGCCATGCTGGCCTTGCGCATGGCGCGAGGCTCCTGGGGGTTCCTGCGCGGCGCCGCCTGGGCACCGGGGGCGCGGCCGAACAAGGAGCGCACCCGCAGGGCTTTGTGGCCGCTCGCACCCTGCTGCCTGCGCTTCCTGGCGGAGCGCCGGTGGCTGCGTCCGGCCGCACTTGGTCTGCGTTTGTCTGGGGCTCGCCTGCGGGCCCACTGCTCGGGTACCGGGAAGGCGGCCCCTGGGTCTCCAGCCGGAGGGAGCGCTGCCGCCGAGGCCCCTGCCGGCCGGTGGGGCCCGGCGAGCGCCACCAGCTTGGTACGTACCGAGAAGGACGTGCCAGGACCGGGGCCGCCAACCCTCGGTGGACTCGGTCCTGGACGCGAATAATGTGCGTTGCCGGACCCTGCGGTCCCGGAACTGTTGAACCGCTTCTCAGAAAAGTTGAGGCAGAGCATTCGGTCGGGATGGATTTCAGGGGCACCAACCAGACCACCATCTGTCTCGGTCGTCATCCCTCTCCCGTTTAATCTACGTTCATTGGGAAAATAGCTTGCATTTCTGGTCTTTTATTAAAACACGGATTTTCTGAAGCGAATCCCCTCTGTTTAGGGCAAAGCTGTGAGAATCTTCAGAAAGGTGTATAGTCCTGTTTGTTTGCACAGGTTTCATTCCCTAACTTTGAGTAACTTCCAGATTCCAGGATGTAGAGTAATTACATAATTTAAGTTGTAACTTAAAGATACGTTAGCTCTAAGTAAAGAAAAATATTAAAACTCGCTTTTGAGGCAAAGGAAGAGAATATTTGTCCACTTATTTTTTTCTAATTGCCCACCTTTTGATCTGTTGAATTTCTCCAGGGCAGGAGTGTGGGACAGCTTTTGATGTCATGTAGCAAGACTCATGCAATTATTACATCTTCAATTGTTAGGTCTTCAGCGGGCCCCTGTACTGCTGTCATCAGATGTACAGCATGGCTTGAGGTGGCCACATCCTGGTAGGGGTCTCAGCTCCACGAACAGCTAGAGCATGTCGCCATTTGAATGCTGGATGTTCTGAGGTTACCATATCCCGACTGAAGTCCTTGCCAGAACGCCAGTAGTTGGTCGAGTATGCCACAGGTTATCTGGTTGGGTAATCTGAGATTAGCTCTCAATTTTAATTTTGGAACGTTTACGGATTTAATTATTAGAAATTAATGCGGTGGTTTTAACGGAAAGCTTTTTATGTGGAGCTAGAAAGAACCCCTTTCACCATTCCATCAGCATTTAGTCCCGTTTCTTAATTCATCAAATGATAACGATCTCATTGCAGCTTTGTTTTGAGTTATGCCACCCAGCTAGTTAACCCCAGAGTAACGGAACTGACTCTGGGGAGAGTGTTTTTTTCTGACCTTTTGCTTTGTTTTGCCCCCTTTTTTTTTCTCCTTCTCAGTCATCAACTACCTTTGTTTTCCCAGAGTTGCTAAAACTTTGGATCTGTTTGACATATTCTGTATCAGTTAGGTCAACAGATTTATCTGCCTTTTTTTGTTGTTCTTTCTCTGAATTCTGAAACCACTCTGACCTTTGAACTTGAGTTTGGAACATAAACCAAGAATGTTTCCATTTAATTATATTGTGTGTTCTACTTTCAATTAAAGACCCCTGAGTTGAGGTTTGTACTGCTTTTTGAGTAGTGATTGTTGCCTAGAGAATTCTTAAGTTTTTCTGTAGCTTTCTATCTTAAGCCACCTGACCCTAACAACCAGGAACTCATTATTCCTCCTGGCAGAGTTAAATGTTTTGTGCCGAGTTGTATGTATAACACAACTTCATATCGTTAGAGAACACTTATTCTAACAGGATTTTTTTTTTTTTAATTTTGAAAAATGTCATTAAAAAATTGAAATGGGCACTTAAAATTTTTTAAAACAGAATTAAGGTACAGGAAGGCTAATTACTGATTAAGGCAGAGGTTAAGTAGAGTTGGTTCTTATGAGGAGACAGTCCCATGGGATGGAATTGGCAGTGTTGACTCAGTGGAGAAAAACTCCAGGCTTTACGTAAAGGCATTTTGGTATCATTTCTGCACCCTGTTGTGCAGTGTCTTAGCTCTGCTAGGCTTAGAATTGTGATAGCAACTGGTTTTCAGCTAGTTGCAGACTGTAACATTATTTTTGTGTCTGTTATTAACAGATTTATAAAAGTCTCTTTATATCTCAGGAATCTCAATTCCTACTTCTTTCCATTTTCTTTTAGCAGTTCTCCAATTTAATGATGAAGTTACAGAATTAAATCCTCCCCCATCTGTATCTCCAAATACTGTGTATGTTGCTAAGTGCCATCAAGTCATTTCCAACGCACAGTGACCATGTGTAGGGTTTCTTAAGAAACAACTGATGAGTTTGAACTGCCAGCCTTGAGATTCAAACGGACTTTGCAGTCCGGTGCCACACCAGGACTCCATATACTGTGAATATAGCATGCTGCAGTTTTTTGATGGATGTGTGTAGGACATGAGGAGAGGTTATTTTAGGCTAAAATGCCTAAGATTGATAATTTAGCTATTTCTCTTTTAACTTTAGCTATTTCTCTTTTAAAAGCTGAGTGCCTAAAGTTCTGTATTCTAAGGGTGAAGTCATCTATTAAAGGCTTTACTTACATAGTAGGTAATACATGTTTGTATTATTCTTTCTCTATTTAGGGAAAAAAAAAAAACTTAAAATAGACGCAAAAGACACTTTAGTTTTTGTTCAGATAAATAATATCTCTTCATCTGCTTATAGTCATGAAAGACAGTTTGAGAGAAAAAAATAACAACACATGGATTAAAAACTAATTTTAAGTAATAAATTTAAAGTTTATGTTGCTATTGACTCTTGTTAATGAAGTGTACTTTTCTATATAGTTGTTTATAAAGTATGAATGTACAGTATTTAATTTAAACATTGTTTTCTTTTTCAGTATGAAAACCCATGGACAATTCCAAATATGTTGTCAATGACGAGAATTGGCTTGGCCCCAGTTTTGGGCTATTTGATTATTGAAGAAGATTTTAATATTGCATTAGGAGTTTTTGCTTTAGCTGGGCTAACTGATTTGGTAAGTTGTAAATACAAACTCCCTGTTTGCTCTTCCCTCCAAAAACTAAGGTCTCTACTATTACACTGAAATAGCACAGTCTTAGTTTCTTTAGAAAGATTGGACCTAGTACTTCGTGTAAGGACTTATCTATAGCATCTCTGTGGGACTCTTTCTTTGTACAATCTAAGGGAGAAATGAAAGGTTATAGAGAGGAATAGGAGGGGCATTTTTAACTCTTGGTCTTCAATTTTTTTTTTATTTTTTAATTAAAGTATCTCTGGGAAACCCTCAAAGAACTGAATGCTAGCTTTAGGAATAGAAATTAGGAAAGAAAGCTGTACATGTATTTTCTGTTTATTGTGTGTCGAGCTACAGAGAGGTGTGTTTATCTGCAACAGCAATTGGGTTTACTGGTGGAAAAGAAACCAGTGGGTCATTGATGACCCAGGAATTTTGTGATGGGCAGAACTCTGCTCAGTTTAAGATAGCAAGAAACTCTAGGGACCCCAAAGATTAGGTTCCTGATCCCTGCTCCAAATCACCCTTATAGCTTCCTGCAGAAAACCTCATGTGGGACTAGGCAGTGGGTGCCCTTCCTTCTTCCACTGTCTATGCGATGGACAATGGAGAAAGGAGCTCCAGGACATCGCTAAGTCAGTTTTGGGGGAGGGGAGGATTGAATTGTTGTTAAGTGCCATTGAGTTGGTTCTGACTCATGGAGACACCCTGTATAGGGTTTCCAAGGAAGTGGCTGGTGAGCTTGAACCGCTGACCTTGTGGTTCAAACCGACCTTGCAGTCCATTGCATTAATCTGCAGTGCCACACTAGGACGATCTCAAATTAGAATTTAGCTTCATGATGTATTAAGTAGGTTTCTGTGGGCAGACCAAAGAATTCCATCATCATGGATTATATTTATCAGTCATCTGTTTCATAGAGGATTTGAAATGGCTTACAAAACTACATACCCTACAAAAACACAATTGAGGGAAGTGGTGAAAAACATGAAAACTATCAAATCAAGGCAAAGTTAGCATTGTAGAAGTAGCTAGAGTGTAGCATTGTACAAGACTGATCTGAAATTCATGTGTGCACCTAGGCAGGACTTGATGATTGATTTGGATCCCCTTCAAACTGGTGCATGTTTAAAAAGCTTTGCTAAAAGCTCAGTGAGAATAGAGAAAACTAATTTTCTTTTAATAAAAGTTGGCTAGTAGCTTTGTAATATCACCTATTTCCTTTGTGGTTCATAGAAACAAAATTCCACTAGCCTATTAGCATTGGTGGGTAATGTAGAATTAACTGAAGCTTTGGGAGGGTAAACAGAGGAAGGCATTTGTATTATTATATGGTATATATCTCTACTTTGTCGCAACATCACCCATTCTCATAATCTTTTAAAATTGTCCCAGCTTTGATCTCTGAAATCTGAAGGCCTCCACTCATTATTAATATAGTTTACTGTCAAAGGCCATCGTACTGATAATGATTTTTCTTTTAACGTAACTGGCAAGACCTTTTCCAGTTACTGAACTCCTTCTCTCTCGGTTCACTACCAAGAAATTCACTGAATGGGCGTGAGACTCAATACACATTTTTCTAATTATATAAGATGCTATGTTCGGGATCTCACAAATGTGTTTTGCATTTATTCCATGGAGATTTTAATGTCTCTCGATTGGTCACTGGGTAGACTCATCCAGGGTTGAAGAAGGGTACTGACTTGATCTGATTTGTTGTGGATATTACCGGAAGGCAAAAGTGGAAATATAGAGAGACGGGTTGGGAAGCTTCCAGTAATCTGGGGAGCTGCGATGATAGCTTGGACTCTGGTTGTAGTTTGGAATTGAAATACAAGTGGGTGGGTATGATACATGTTTTAGAGATAGAGTTAGTATGTTGAATCATTGGTTATGGGGGGCAAGAGAAAGAAGAGTTTACGCCTAAACTATTTCTTTTACTTTTTGTTAGTCAAGTGCTTGGAGATAACATTATCTCTGATGGACAGCAAACTCAGGACAGGATTTTGAGGCAAATAAAGCGTTACAATGCCTGTCTACACAGGCAGTTAGTTAGTTAGTCTGGAGTTGGAGGAAGTTTTTATGAGAGAGGTGGATTTGAGAGTTAGCAGCATAGCATTGGTCAAGTCTGTAGGAGAAATCATCTAGGTTAAGGTGAAAGAGAAAAGAAGGGGTCAGAGAAATGAGCCATGGAGTCCTACCAATGATCAAAGCAGTGGAGAAGGAGCCAGTAAAGGACTGAGAAGGAAAATCCAGTGAGGAGGGCCGACAATGAGTCAGTGTGATGTTCTAGGAATTAAGTAAAGGCAGTGCTTCACTTGTGTTGAGGTCAAGTAAGCTAAGAAATAAAGAATTTGACTTTGAGAAACACTGTCTCTAGAGGGGTGGGACAAGTGCCAATGTAATGTGATAATGACAATCAACATCTCTTTGAGGAAGTTTTGCTTTGTAGGGGAATAGAGAAATAGAGGCACAAAAGGGGGTCTACTTTAAAGATATGACATGCTTGGGAATTTTTTATTAGTGGAAATGATCAAGTAGAAAGAGGAAGACTGATGATGTCAGAGATGAGACAGGAGGGAGGCAAACCAAGAAGCTCCGGGAATAGGATCAGGGAAAGCAGAGAGAATGAATAATTGCAATCAGGTGGTGGATTTGGTGGCACGACTATGAGAAACTTGATGGCAAACTTCTAGTTTTTCAAGGAAAATAGAGACATGATGTTTCATAAATTTTACAAACATTTGTTAATCAAAAGACTTTACAAAAAAAAGAAAAAGAAAAGATAAGCTACTAAGAGACTATGTTCAGAAACCATATAGCCAATAAGAATCTAATAACATATATATATGGTTGACAACAATGGAAAGATAAATATCTCAATCATAAAATGGGCAAAAGACTTAAATAGACATTTCACCAAAGAAGACATCAAATGGCCTCTAAACATGAAAAGTATTAGTATTCAATGTCATTAGTAACCAGAGAGATGTAAATCAAAACCCAGTGAGATACATACCACTTCACTCCTACTAGCATGGCTAAGATTTAAGAAAACAAATAATGACAGTGTTGCTGCAGAGAAATCAGAAGCTTTATCCTTTGTTGGTGAGAATGAGAAATGCCCAACCATTGTGGAGAACAGTTTGGCATTTGCTCAAAAAACTTAAGAATAGAACTACTATATGATTAACCAGCAGTTCCACTCCAAAGTATATTCAAAAGACTTTGAAAGTAGAGACTCAAAGTTATACTTTTATACCAGTGTTCATTGCAACATTACTGAAATAACCAAAAGGTAGAAAAACGAAATATCCATCAACAGATAAATGGATAAACAAGATATGGTACATACGTGCAATGGAAAACTACTCAGTTAGTAAGAGAAGTACAGTCTTGCCAAATGCTGCACTGTGTATGGAGCTGGAAGACATTATGCTGAGTGAAATAAATTCAGTCACAAAAGGACAAATAGTGTGTGATCTCACACAAAAATGCAAGTGTAGAGTAGTTGCCAGGGGCAGATGGAAAGGGGGATTAGGGGACTTCATGCTTATAGATAACTGATTTTCAGCTTATAGTATTGGAAAAATCACATTGACTTTGGGTCGGTTTGCACAATTCGTTAATGTAATTGGTGTCAGTAAATTGTATGCGTGTAAAAAGTTGAGTTGGCAGTGTTGTGTGATAGATATGTTTACACTCATTGTCTTCGTTGTTGAATGTAGTCGAGTCCATTCCAACTCACAGTGACCCTGTATAGGGTTTTCAAGGAGTGGCTGGTGAGTTTGAACCACTGACCTTGTGGTTGAAACTGACTTTGCGGTCCAGCGCTTATCATACAGCTCCACACCAGGACTCCATGTTTACGATAGTGACCAAATGAAGTAATTGCTGAGGCTGCTTATGGATAACCAAACACTTCATGGAATTTGTTTCTTTGGTAGGAGGCTTAGGGTCATGGTTTCTTGGAACATCTCAGTTAATAATTGGCGTAATAACATGTTTAATGCTTCTGTTCTACCTCCTCTTTTGTTGCATAGTAAGTACCTGGCATCTTGAAAGCTTGCACATGGCCATCCAAGGTACATCAACTGGTATCTATTCACCTGAAACAAGGAAGAAAGAGAGTTAGGAAGAGGAGGAGGATATGGGATGTGTGGCTAATTGCCTCCATAAACAACTTGCTCCTTTACCATGCGATCAGAAGAACTGGTTGATGCCATTACTGAGCATTTTGATGAAAGATTCCTTTGATTAATCCTGATCAAAAGGGGGGAAATATAGGCCAGTATTCCAGACTCTCATGGACTCTATTTTCTGGAGCCCTAGAAGGTGGATGAAGCCCTGAAACTATTGTCCTCAAATGATCTTTAAACCTTAAACCCAAAATAGCCTCTAAAGTCATCTTAAAACCTAGTAGTTTAGCTTAATAATTAAGTAAAAAGAAGATATGCCTTTTTTTTTTGGAGCAAATTGACAACATAGCTTGAATTAGATAGGCTCTTTAAGGGGCAGTGGGTTTATATTGAAGGAGGAACAACTCAAGGAGGGTGAGAATGGTTGCATAGCTGAATGACTCGATTATAGTGACAGTGTAATCCGTGTCACTGAATTTTACATGTAGTAATGAATTGGCACAGGATTTTGCAGTGTATATTCCCTACAACAAAATATGTTATTTAAAAAGATAAAGCTGCTAACTTGATGAGCACCTAACAACAGCACAACATGGTTCCAGAAGTCCTTCAGTATAATGTATGTTTGTGCTTCTCTTTGTCAAAGACTTTCAACCATGGAAAATAGAAGCCAGAACCATGAATGGAAAAAATATATACATACCAAAAATAAAAAATAAAAGAGAGAGAGACATCATCAGCTAGAGTGGAAGGGCTTGGGATGGGTTTGAGGTGAGTGCTCACAGTATGAAAATACAAGATGAACACAATAGGCAGGTATGAGATTGCCAGGCAGTATTGAGTGTCTGCTAGAGGTTAGTGGTCAGGCATCTGTACTGAGACCACTCAGTCCATTTATGTGTTTATTTCAGGCAGTGCTCAGCTGCTTGTGAGCGGGCCTGGGGTACAAATAAAATTGTATTTAAGCAGTGTTGAGGGAAAGTGTAGTTGAGGGACTTAACAAATGTTTGTAAAGCAGTTGATAACCTTGGAATTGAATGTAGATTAGAGGAATGAATAGTAAGGAGAAATGGGTGGTGATGGTGAAAAAGTTGGAGGTTTGATTCTGAAATGGTCTTCCAAGGCCCCAACTACTGATTCTAGGCATTTCATTAAATGTTATCTGATGTCTTAAAATGATTGTTGATTGTGATATGAATAGCTAACTAGGAGTAACTCCATTTTTGAGGAATTACTAAGTGCAAGCCACTCCTCGGAAACCCTATACAGGGTTACTGTGGATCAGAACCAACTCGACGGCACTTAACAACAGCAACAGCAATCCCTGAAAGTATTAGTCACATTTCGTGTTGAAGATAATCAGCATTTCGAGGCAGCTAATATAGCTCCGATTTAAAGATGAGGAAACTTGCTTAGAACGACTAAAAAGCTTGCTTAAAGTTACACAGTTTTAGTAAGTAGCAGAGCCAGGACTTGAACCCAGTCCACTCGGTACCAAAGACCGTGTTCTTAGTCACAGTCTCATACTACTGCTGTCTCCTCTAATTCATTGGGATACTTGAGATAAGGAAATCTTATTTACCCTTTAAAATATGTCATGTTTAATTACCTCTAACTCAATTATCCCCCTTGGAAATACGAGCAGAAAACTCCAACATTTGTTGAAGCTGGATAAACTAGAAAATGCCTAAGTTGTACAGTGGAGTTAAGCATTATGTGGTTTAAATTTATCTTGTGACCCCAGATGCCCTGGTTTTTCCATTTCTCAGATTAGACTGAAAATCTGTATTTTTATGGAAGAATTTGAATATGGTGTGGCACTATAGGACTATTAACCTCAGCAGTTCAAACCCTCCAGCTTCTCCTTGGAAATCCTATAATACAGGGCCGCTGTGAGTTGGAACCAACTCAACAACAGCAGCAACATGTTTTGAAAAGCTCTGGATAGGTTACCAAAACTAGCTTGCCAGGTCCCATTTGGTCAACATGCAACCAGGTGTGATATTTGCTTTAAAATATAATTTATTTCGAAGTGTAGTAACTAAGTAATTTAAGTATCAAAAATTTCAGTGGATTGAATCTTTTATTCAGATAAGGGCAAGCAAATGCTGTCTTGTTGTTAAGTGCCGTTGAGTAATTCCGACCCATAGTGACCCTGTATAGGGTTTCCGAGGGGCAGCTGCTGAACTTGAACTGCCAACCTTGCAGTTCAAATGGCTTTGCAGTCTGGCACATTAACCCACAGTGCCACACCAGGACTAGCATGCAACTAATGATGGTACTGAACAAAAGAAATAAAAAGTTGAAAAATACTAATGTTTATAGCTGTTAAGTCATATTTTTAAAAATTAGGTGGTGGTTAGTTGCACCAATTCATGGTGACCCTAGGTGTGTAGACTCTTCCATAGGGTTTTCATGATTGACCTTTCAGGAGCAGATCTTCTAAGACACTGCTGGGTGGGTTTGAACCACCAACCTTTTGGCCAGTAGTAGGTGCATAACTGTTTAAGAGAGTCATAGTTAAAGGTCCTTGCAAGTAAAAACAGCTATTTTAGCTATGCTAAAAACAGCCTAGCTTTTTCTGAAGATAGTGCTGAACGCAATGGAGGAAGTCCCTGCCCCTCCCTCAACTGAAGGTGTTGAAAGTCCGGAAGGCTGTGTTGAAAGGCACTTGTTGCTGTGTGCCATCAATTGGTTCCGAGTCATAGCGACCCTGTATAGGATTTCCAAGGAGAGACTGGTGAACTTGAACCGCCCACCTCTATGCCATCACCAGATTCCCTCTGACTACTGAGTTAGCCATGAAGAAGACTGACGATAACACGCTTGTGCTTACTGTGACTGTCAAGGCCAACAGGCACCAGATCAGACAGGCTGTGAAGAAGCTCCATGACATTGACGTATCCAAGGTCAACACGTTGACCAGGCCTGAGAGAGAAAAGAAGGCATATGTTCCACTGGCTCCTGACTAGGATGCTTTGGATGTTGCCAACAAAATTGGGATCATTTAAACTGAGTCCATCCAGTTGGCTAATTTTAAATACAGATTTGTTTCAATACTTTAAAAAAAATGGGACAAGGGTGTAAAGGCATGGGTCTAGCCTAGACTGTCAGATTTAGTTTTAAATGAGTTCCTCACTAAATCTCTGAAGGTGTGTTTGGGTGTATCTCACAAAAGGGCATTTTGAAAATACTGAGGGACTAGCAGAAAGGCCTTGAGAAAGAAAACTACTACAGGCATATCTTGGAAATAATTGAGGGTTCATTTCCAAGCTACCATAAATAAAGCAAATATTGCAATAATGCAAATCACATGACCTTTTTTTTTTTAATGTTTTATTGTGAATTGTGCGATAATCTACACGGGAGAACATCAGCTTTACATTCATTCCATCATCCATCATTTCATTGGCATAGTTACCATCCTGTCCATGCATCCTCACCCAACCAAGGGGTGTACCCTATAAGCCTGCACCCCCCTCCCACCACCGTTCTCAGCCCCTTTCCATCTCCTGATCCCGAGCCCCCAGCCCTACCATCTCTTGACGTTGTCTTCTCTGCCTCCATCCCAGGCCTCACTGCCTCTCTGGGTAGGATTACGCCCTTCTCTCTTCTCCATTGATGGTTCCAGGGTCCTCCTCTCCTAGACTGATAAATTAATCACTCCCCTCTTTGTTACAAAATGTCCATCTTAAGATTTCCAATCCTCTCAATCAGTCCTGATAACAATTATTCACCATTGCATCACAAGTGACCCATCTATATTTCGTTTCATCAGCCCTTCCTGGACAGGCTGGACACCACTCACTGGAGACTCTACCTTCCTCCACACCCTCTGGATCTAGGTTCTCTCTTGTCACATGAACTTTTGTATCCCAGTGTAGATAAGGGTTTTGTTTACCTTGCACTTCAGTCTACTGAGTACAATAGCATTATGAAAGAGTTTGAAATATTGTGAGAATTACCAAAGGTGACAGAAAGTGAGCATACGCTTAGAAAAATGACACTGATAAATTTGCTCAAGCAGGGTGACCACAAACTTTCAGCTTGCAAAGCACGCAGTAGTTTTGAAGTGCAATAAGACAAGCTGTGCCTGTGTAGAAATGTGAATTATTTTCACACCTTAAATATTTTCCAGACTAACAGTGTTGCTAGTTTGAAAACTAAATACCAGTGGAAGAATGAGAATGTTTGGGGAGTAATAGATTTTATTAACATTTTATGAAACTACAGTGATTATTCTGGTAGCTCTTAAGCTTTAAGATGTCTTCTCTAACTATTATGATGTTTATATTTTTGAAAACCTTCTATTTTCAGTTGGATGGATTTATTGCTCGAAACTGGGCCAATCAAAAATCAGCTTTGGGAAGTGCTCTTGATCCACTTGCTGATAAAATACTTATCAGTATTTTATATGTTAGCTTGACCTATGCAGATCTTATTCCAGGTAAGAACGTCATCATGACATTAGTCAGTCTAGGATTTCTCTGGTCTGTGACATACAGATTATTTTTTTCCAAAACTATTTTTCAACGTTAAACTGTTACTCTAATTTTAAACTATTGAACTGTTTGCTTGTCAAGCTATTTATTTTACTTAAGAATTTATGTCCTTATATTAATAGGATCAGTTGTTTTCTTAGTAAGATAGTTAATTCAAATTACTTTAGAATGTTTTAGAGCTGTATTATGTATTAATAGTGCCTAGTGTGTTTTAAAGCAGTTTAGAGTTTTACTAAATATTAATATCTTTATTAAGTATTATTGTTGTTGTTAAGTGCCATTGAGTTGGTTCTGACTCTTAGGAGACCCTATACAGGGTTTCTGAGGAGCAGTTGGTGAGTTTGAACTGCCAATCCTGTACCGGCCTTGAGGTAGAGTGCCGTACTAGGACTCCTTATTAAGTATGTTGTTGTAAAGTGCCATCGAGTCGGTTCCGACCCATAGCGACCCTGTATAGGGTTTCCGAGGAATGACAATAAATGAAAACTCTGAAATCCTAAAAATGTCTGTAAAATTTCACATTACTTAGACGCTCTTTTTTTTTTAAGCCTTTATTGTGAATTATGTGATCATTTACATGGGAGAACATTAGCTTTATATTCATCCTATCATATTTCATTTCATTGCAATGATTACAGTCCCCTCCATGCATCATCAACCAACCAAAGGGTACATCCTGCAAGGCTGCCCCTGGCCATCAGCACATTTCCCTCCCTGAGTCCAGAGTCCCCAGCCGCTCCATCTCTCCACATCATCACACTTAGACACTATCTATAATATTCAAATCATAAGTGTAATTTGTACATTATCTGAAATACTATTCTGATAGGGTTTTATACTTGTTTGCTTTATATTTCACGTATATTTTCTGTTTGTGTATTTTCTACTAAAGCTGTATTTCTTGATCACTTTTCTTCCTCAATTAAGATTAAACTGTTTCTATAAGGTAGAAATGAGATCTGAGAACAAAAAAACTTATAAATGGTCCTTCAGAAGGTTGCTGTTGACATTTGATAGAAAGAAGTGAGTGGCCTTTCAATTTAGTGTAGACTCAAGCTGGTGATTCTCTTTTTCCTTTACCTCTAGCTTTGTAAGTTCCAATATCAAATTTTAAAAAATGGACTAATGTTTGTGCTTTTTTAAAAGTCAGAATTGAAATGTGTGTATGGTTGAGAAGGAGCTCTGGTAGCATAGGGGTTATGATGACCTCAAGATCAGCAGTTCGAAACTACCAGCCATTCACAAGAGAAAGATGAAGATTTCTGCTCCTGTAAAGATTTACAGCCTTGGAATGCAGGGTCGCTATGAGTCGGAACTGACTCCACGGCACATAACCAGCCAATCAACCATGTGGTTGAGAAGGGGCCATAGGTACTCATTCTAATGAGTATAATTTCAATGAAGAAAACCCTGAAGAGCATTCTATTGACAATATTCAGAATTCTCAGAGGATCTGTGTATGTAGATGAACCTATCTCCATTTCCTGAAGTCGCACTGTAGAGTGTTGGCCAGGTCACTTTTCTGTTGAATTGCTGTATCTAGTATATGACAGAAACCCCACCAGTAGGTGGCTTTCACAAACAGTTATCTTTCTTCACAGTTATTGCAGGATTGTGTATATCATAGTATATATACAGTATATATACAATTTGTTTTTTTTAACTCTTGCACTCCACCCTGTGTTTTCTGCTTCTTTTAGTGTGGAAACATTTTCTTGACTTGTTACAATAGTGGTCTTAAACAATATTTTGTCCTTCTTTGTTCAACTAATGTTACTCAGGGAGTGAGTCTAGTGGCTCCATATGGTAAGTACTGACTGGACTGTGAACCACAAGGTCTACAGTTTGAGCCCACCAACTGCACCATAGGAAAAAGATGTGGCTTTCTGTTCCCACAAAGATTTAAAACCTTGGAAACCCCATACAGGCTTGCTATGAGTTGGAACCAACTCTGTGACTCTTAACAACAACCATTTCACTCAGCATAATGTCTTCCAGGTTCATCTTTGTACCACATAATTTTTTGTGTGGAGTTAATTTTGTATGTGGGTTTTCTTGTCATGTTCTTTGTTGCTGTTGTTTCAGTTTTTACTAAATCTTTGACTTTTCCTCTTTTCACTTTGATGAGATTTATTCATTTTCTTTGGGGCTACCCTGTAATTTATTAATTTCTTCCTAAGTTTAAAATGGTCTGTTTTATGTTGAAATCTACTTGACTTCCTCACCATTTTGCAGTTCTGTATGTACACTATTCCCTCTTTTTACTTTGTAGTTGTTTTCATTATAAATTGATAATCTGTGCATCTGTGCCATCAGGCTGCCGTCTGGATCGAGTGCTGTGCCAAGTCAGGCCAGCAGACAGTTCAGTCATTTCCTTTCTCGCCCCTGTTCAGCATCTTCTCCAAGTCAATATTCAGTCCACTTTTCTATCCTTTCCTCTGAAGCTCAGGCTTCCAGAATTATCATTTGGGCTCCATATGATAAGCACTGGACTGCGAACTACAAGGTCCACAGTTAGAGCCCACCAGCGGCTCCCTGGGAGAAAGATAAGGCTTTCTGCTCTTGCAAAGATTTAAAAAGCCTGAGGAAACCCTATACAGGGTTGCTGTGAGTCGGAACCGACTCGACGGCACATAACAGCAGCAACCATCTTTCATGTAGAGAGTCTCTGAAGGGTCTGTCTAGTCCATCAGCTTGCTGGAAGTCCTGATCTGCTTCTTTATGCTTTCATGTAGTGATCAGGGTTCCAGAATTGTCTTCTGTATTGGTTTCATTTAGTTTCAGATCTTTGCTGCCGATAAATGATGTGGTGTGTCTGACTAAGCTGCCATTTTAGCCACAAAGTCTTGAATATTGAACTTTATCAAATTCTTTCTTCATGTATTATAATAATCTCATGGGTTTTTTTCCTTAAACCTGTTAATGTGTAGTAAATTGTATTACTATTGATTTTCAAGTGTTAAACCAAGCTACAATTGCTGCATAAATCTAATTTATTTGTAACAGCATATTCTGAAGATATTGCTGGATTTAGTTTGCTGATATTTTCTTAAAGATTTCTTGTCTAGATTAATGAGATTTGTCTGCAGTTCTTTTCTCCCATTATCCTTGTTAGGTTTTCCGTTCAAATTTAGACTAGCATCATAGAATGAGTTTGAGTGCACTGTTTTTGGGGTTTTTTTGGGAGACATTTGTGTGAAATTTCAATGTTTGGTTGCACTTGTTGAGTCATTGATACCAGGAGGTTTTTTGTGGGAGAGAGTTTTAAAATAGGTGGTTAAATTTCACTATTATATAATGATTTCGGTTTTCTAGTTTATCTTTTGTCCATTTTATGAGTTGTGATGTTTTACTAGGAAGTTGTCTGTGGTTATTTTTAAGTGCTTTGGAGTCAGTTCTGACTTATAATGATCCTGCATAGAGTTTCCAAGGAGCAACTGGTGGGTTTGAACCACCATCCTTGTGGGTGGCTGTCCAGTGCTTACCATATAGAACCATTCCAGGACCCTAGGATTTTGTCCATTTCACATAAAAATTTAGCATAAGTGATTTATAATTTGGAGCCCTGGTGTGACTTATTCTGTAGGATAAGCTCACTGGACTGCTAACTGAAAGGTGAGCAGTTCAAACACATCAACCACTCCTCAGAAAACCCTATATGGGGCTGCTGTGAGTTGGAACTGGCTCCATGGCATTTTATAATAACAACATTTATAATATCCTCACTTACTTTTTAATGTCTGCAGGATCTGTATGAGTGTCTCCCTCTAACCCTGGTTGTTAATCTTTTTTCTTGATCAATCTTGCTAGTAGTGTTTTGTCAATCAGTGTTATTAACCTTTTTCAAAAAATCATCTTTGGGCTTTGTTAAGCCTCTTTGCTATATTTGTTTACTCTTCATTAAACCTTGATCTTTGCTTTCTACTCTTTTCTTTGGTTTGTCTTTGCTGTTTTTTGTCTTTTAAAATTTGTTTCCACTCAACTCTAGTTCAGCTCTGTCTAAAAGAAATATAGTTGAGGCCATGTATGCAGTTGGATACTGGTGTGGCACTGTAGGATCAGCACTGAACTGTGAACCACAAGGTCGGCAGTTCAGACTTACCAGATGTTCCTTAGAAACCCTATATTAGGTCGCTATGAGTTAAAATCGACTGTATGGCACTTAACAACAGCCACAGCAATAACAACAACAATATATGCTATTTAAAATTTCCTTGTACCTATATGAAAAAAGTATAAAGAAATCAGTAAAAATAATTACCCTTTATTTTATTTAATCTAGTAAATCCAAAATGCTATTTCAAAGTTTAATCAATAAAAAAATGAGATTTTTTTGTAAATTTTTTTTAAAAATTTTTATTGTGAATTGAGTGAAGATTTACAGACAAGATCCATCAAATTTATACTCAACAAATTATATACCTTGTTTCATGTCAATTATTACAATCCCTCCTTGCAACAAGTTATCCTACTTCCTCCCTGTGGCTCCCCATTTACATCTTATATTTCACAAATGAACAACGCAAAAATATTTGATGTAGACATAGAAAACAAATAAGTATTAAATGTCCAAATGGCACATTCTGCAACTCAGCCTCCATGCTTGCAGGCACACAGCCTTACTCAGTCCATGGGCCTATAGCCTGCAACTGCTCTGTCTCCACACGTTTTTTAGGTAGGAGTCTCTCACTCTTGTTCTTTCTTGATGGTCCTGGGATCCTCTGTTCCTGAAATGAAAGATTAACTCCTCCCCTCTATTAGTTACACATCTTCGACAATCACACTTAATCCTGCAAATAATTACTCACAATTGAATCACAAAATCGAATCACCATCTTCCTCCATCCCCTTTCACCAGATCCCTCTGGAAAAGAGGAAACTGTTTAGTCGAGATTCTACTGACCCTTTTGTTCTGAAACTGAGCACATTAATGAGATATTTTTTCATGCTATAGCGTACAAGCAGTTTATGATTTATGAATGTCTGACTTGCCTTTAAACTGGATCTATCATGGCCAACAAAATGAAACAGGAACAGCCCCAGAGTTTTCACCATTTTGCAGATTTGGCACAGTGCCCAGACTGGGAGTGTTTTTGAGTTAAGGCTCTAATGAGAGACTCAGAAGTGGTGTAGTGAGCCCATTCAGGAGCCTGAGATAGGGGAATTCATTATTGGCAGGACTGTAGGAAAGCTACGCACATTCAAAGCAGTGCAGTCAGCCCCCATCTTTGAGCCAGGGTAGCACTGCTTGGGACTGCTCAGAATCCGAGAGCAAGAGATTTGGTTACTGTGCAATGCATATGCTGCCCATCTTCTTAAAGAGGGAGATTAAGTTTCTTGTAAGACTTCACCAATAATTTTTCCTGTTCCGACTATCTTTACCGTTTGCCATACTTCAAAAAGTCAGGTCTGCCCCGGGCTTGCTTTCTTGGCTATGACTGAACTAGGCAGAACTGGTTTGAAACCCTGACACAAGTAGAAATGGATCTAGTTCATAGCCTGGGGACTGCCTAAATATATAAGGGGGCTTCAATGGTTTCTAAAAAAATCTTAACTTTTGTTTTTCAATTAAAATTAATGATTTATTACTTTTTCCAGCTTGCTAAATTATCTTCTGTAATTTTCAGTTCATTGAAAGAATTTTTAATCTTTGCTTTAATTTCTTTGTACATTGTAAACTTAGGGAGAGAAACAGGAGCAGTTAGAAGATGCAAAAATCAGGGACCTGGATGAAATTGCCCCAAAACACAAAAGTAGGAGTTTATGTATTGTCAGTAGGCAGAGGTCTTTGCCATGGCCGTCGCACAGGGCCCCGCCTGGCTAAGCATTGACTCATCCACAGAGCGAGCTTCTGTGCATTTAATAAGCTCTCCCAGCTGGTTCTGTGATGGGCAATCAGTTTGGGGAACCATTGCTTTTATTAGCAACCTTTCCCCCTGGCAAAGTACAAAATTATTCCTAAAATCATTGACTTGCCTGTTTGATTGTTTGGCTGGTATTGCCTTGTCTTCCGTTTGCTCCAGATGCCATGAATTAAATGGATTCACATATAACAAGTGATTAGCTACAGAGATGCTAATTGGTAAGTCATATACTGCTGCTGGGCTGGAAGCCTTATACACAGGCCTGAGCACAAGCTGTGAATTCTGGAGACCTAGCTTCTAATCTTGAGCCTTGGTGTGTCGCTGTAGGATCAGCCCTGGACTGGTAACCGCAAGGTCAGCAGTTCAAACTCACCACCCACTCCTGAAAACCCAGTGCTAGGGTTGTGATGAGTTGGGACCGACTCGATGACACGCAACAACAACGGTTTCTAATCCTGGCTGAACGAATTGCTAGCTAACAGGGTAACCTTGGTAGAGTTAGATAATCTGCCTGAGTTTGCTTGTTTTTTGTATTTGTAAAAAGGGGGTAACGATGATCCCTTTCGGTGGGGTTGGTATGTTAAATGACATAATGTATATGAAATTCTTAAAATAACGCCAGATAGTAGTCAATCGGTGGTTATTTTGGTAGTTGTTTTAATAGAACTAGAACTTGAGTCTTAGCATTGTATTGCATTGCTTTTTCTCCTTTTCTGCATATGCCTTTTATTTAGGTTTAAATTGTATTTTATTTATTTATTGTTTTACTGTAGTGATGCAATACAATAGTAGGGGGTTATTTTCTTCTACAGTCATATTTGGGGAGTATGTTGTTGTGTGCGGTCAAGTAAATTCTGACCCTATATGACTTAGAATAGAACTGTCCCGGTGGGTTTCTTAGGCTGTAACCTTTATAGGAGCAGATTGGCAGTTCTTTTCTCCTTGGGGAGCAGCTGGTGAGTTTGAGCCACCAGCCTTGCAGTTAGCAGCCAAGTGCTTGACCATTGTGCCACCACGGCTCCTTTCAGGAGGCTTATGATACGTAATTGCCATGGTTTGCTGAATTTTAAAATGTGATTGTTGTTAGGTTTTGCCAGATACTGATTGCCACTGCTGGCAAAGTACAAAATTACTCCTTAAAATCATTGACTTGCCTGTTTTATTGGTTGGCTGGTATTATCTTGTCTTCATTTGCTCCAGATGCCATGAGTTAAATGGATTCACTTACAGCAAAATATTTTCTGTTTAGAATAATATCATTGAGAACTAGGTTAAAGGTCTCTGGCCAGCAGAGGTTTAAATTTTAAATCTGTAAGTAATTGAAGTGTGGTGGGCTTTGGTTCAAGTTGTAGGACCATAGAGAATGTCATCCCTGGAGAAGACCATACATGCAACTTCAAAAGTAATTCACAAAAGAACTGATGGAAAGAACTATGGAAGAGAGATGCATCAGTATGTTTTTACTTTAGTAATTGGAAGCCATTTGAACTGAGTGTTGGCTTCAGTATATACATTCATAGTAAAAAGCTACAGAGCAAGAGGACATAGAGAAGAGCAGGTCTTCTGCCCTCACATTGTCACTCACCAAGGGAGTAGAAGCTCCTTGGGTATCCATCTAAAATATCCTTCTGCCGGCTCTGGCTCTGGGGCCATGCTGCAGAAACTGAGGAGTCATGAAACTGTTGAGAAGTTGGATTCATGTTGTGGTAGAATTCATTGAATGGACAAGGGTGAAAAAGCAGTGGTCTAGGTAGAAATTGGCTTGACAATGAAAATACTTTATTTCTCTGCAAGTATATATATATATATATATATAGGAAATTTTATTTTTTAGAGAATTAGTTTAGGGTGTATAATTAAGCAGTCAAAGCTCCTGAGACTCCAGAATGTTTCAAGTCCTCTACCTTCTTAATCTATTTACCTTTTCTTTCCATTTAATTCTAATAAGTATGCTGTTTCGATTTTCTTCTTTCTTTCTCCTCAACTCACAAAGTATCAAAAGAGGGTAGTAGGGGCTGAGTGTAGAGCTAAGGCTGATACTATAGAGCTATTGCTTGGAAACTGAAGAAGCAAAAAGATTGGTATATGAGAAACAAATGTAGGACTCAAAAGGCTCTGGCTTACACTTCCTTTTCTTTTGAGGGTAGATTAATAAGGATCTAAAGATCAGTTCACTGATGATCCTAAATCTTCAGTGTTTATTATAAAATATTACTTAAGAAAAACACTAGTTTATAATGAGGCTGAGTGATACCTTAGTATATTCATAAATGTCTGCTAATTATTTTCAAAATCCCAATCAGAATCATTTTCTATTTGATTTTCAGTTTCACTTACTTATATGATCATTTCAAGAGATATAATGCTGATTGCTGCCGTTTTTTATGTCAGATATCGAACTCTTCCAACACCGGTGAGTTGGTTTCAAAAAACATCGTTTTTAGTGTTACTGATAACTGCAGATGGGGAGAAAAAAAGTAAAGACTATTGTATACTGAGTTTCACTGAGAATCATTTATGGAACTATTTTTTCATCCATTTACCAGGAATGTTAAAAAATAAAAACATAATTATCTTCTTGCTAGTTGAATCACCCACTAAAGTTGTTGAATAAACACACAAATAACAGACTTAAAGGAACATATTTCTGGCTTAAGTCAAATCAATTTGATTGTTAACACATGAAAAGCCAGACCAGCCATCCCTTGTCCTTAGCAGCAAACTCTTGTTGAAAATGTTTACCATGGATGAAAGTCCCCTTTCACCATTGTGGATTGTCTGGAACTGGTTTTAGAAGACAGAGTGGCCTAACCATAGAATATTTGTTCACTGCTTTTTACAAATATTTGAGCACATACTGTTGTTTTTAAGTGCTGTCCAGTCGGTTCTAACCCATAGTGACCCTGTATAGGGTTTCCAAGAAGCGACTGGTGAGCTTGAATTGCCGACTTTGTAGTTCAGACTGACTTTGCAGTCCAGTACATTAACTGTGGCACTGGGATAATGTACCAGACTGCAAAGCTGTTTGAACTGCAAGGTCGGCGGTTCAAGCTCACAAGCTAGCTGCTGCTCAGAAACCCTATACAGGGTCGCTGTGAGTCAGAACCGACTCGATGGCATTTCACAATACAACAACAACATTAACCCACAGCTCCACCCCAGGACTCCATTTGAGCACATAAGCATGGCATAATAACCTCACCTTTAGCTTCTTAATTAATGAAAAGTGTTGTCAAAGTGCCATCAAGTCAGTTCCAACACATAGTGACTCTGTATAGAGTTTCCAAGGAGTGGTGAGATTTGAAGTGCTGACCTCAAGATTCAAACCGGTTTGCAGTCTAGTATGTTACTCTGCAGTGCTATACTAGGACTCCAGTCTTTTATTCATTTTAATCTATAAAAGAAAATGCTGTTTGGTGCCACAGAGTTAGTTCCGAGTCATAACGACCCTGTATAGCCAAGGAGAGCAGCAAGTGGCTTTGATTGTTGACTTTGCAGTTAACGTCCAGTGCTTACCCTATAGTGCCACACAAGGGCTAGTGTTAGTTTTATTGAATTTATCTAGTAAAAAGATGTAATGAAGCAGACTTTAAGATAGTTATTAATATTCACATTTTATTTGTTGTTGTTAACTGATGTTGAGTTGCCTCCGATTTATATCGACCCTGTATAGGGTTTCCAAAGAGCAGCTGGTGGGTTTGCACTGCCAACCTTGTGCTTGTAGTCCTGTGCTTATCCTAGCACCACACAAGAACTGAGAAATCTATACACTTTTAAAATTGTTTTCAATAATTATGAAAGGGAAGGTTTTGTAACAGTGTATGATTTGCAAAGACTGTAGCTATTTCTTATTTAGCATAACAAAAGAAGGTACATATTAAGGGCTTGTCTAGTCATTCTTACTCATAGGGGTGACAGAGTAGAACTGCCCCATAGGATTTCCTAGACTGGAACCTTTACGGAAGCAGATTGGCACATCTTTTTTCCCTCGGAGAGACTGATGGATTAAAATTCCTGACCTTTCTCTTAACAGCTGAGTGCTTATCTGTTGTGCCACCAGTGTTCCTTCTGTCTAGCATATAGTTGTTTTTATTATTGTTGTTAAGTGCCATTGAGTGGGTTCCAACTCATAGCAACCTTGTGTAGGATTTCCAAGGAATGACTGTGGTGGGTTTGAATCACCATCCTTGTAGTTAGCAGTCCATTGCTTATCCTACAGTGCCACACCAGGACTCTGAGCAAAGAGTTAGCACTGAGTAACTGTTACCTACATATATTAACAAAATGTTTGTTTTAAACTTGAACAATAAATTATTTTTTTTCCTCTGCCAGAGAACACTTGCTAAGTATTTTAATCCTTGCTATGCCACCGCCAGGTTAAAACCAACATTCATCAGCAAGGTAAGAGACGTGTCTTCAGAGTGAGTGTGATCACGCAGTCAACCTTAGCACAGGCCTTATGGATCTTTAGGACTCGTGTTGTAGTTTGTATTGGTGATTTGAAAGTTTAAGTGTCTGAATGAGGTAATAGGGCAACCCCACTGGAGAGGATGAAGAGAGTTGAATTGTAATTGCTTCTGTGAGATACAAATACATAAGGAAGCTTCCCTCCTGCTGTTTGTTCCCTCCCACCGTGTGGGAAATCATTATGTAATTAATAAGGGCCATCCATTTTCGAGAGAGACTATGGCACTTGAAAACAGAGTAAGAGGAAGTTTTTTGAGATTGCTTCAGGACAATAATTATATGCCTGTCATTGCCTACAAAGAGCACACTATTAATGCCTTTAAGGGCAATTTTGTTTTCATAGTAGCCTTGATAAGTTTGCTCTATTCTTCTGCCCCATCACTTGTGATAGAGGCTTAATGGGTTAAGGATGTGGATCACATTTGGACAGAACGGTGTCTTTTTATAGTCCCCTGAGGTGGACCTTCATACATGTTTTTGTGTTGTTTTTTTTTCTCACTTTTGTTGTTGTTGTTAAGTATATTTGAGTCAGTTCCAACCCATAGTGACCCTCTGTAGGGTTTCCAAGGAGTGGCTGGTGAACTTGAACTGCCCACCTTATGGTTCAAACCAACTTTGCAGTCCAGTGCCACACCAGGACTCCTCAAATGACTTGTATTACATAACAATTTGAATGTAGCACTACATAGCAAGAGTTTTAAAGAGGCACAGGGACCAAATGATTTGATTTTAAAAATGAATGGAATTCTTATTATTTGGCTGTAGAACCGACAGTAGACCAGAGCTGCTTCTCTGAGCACATCACCACTGTTTCGTCTTCACAGACTTCCATGGATGCTTCTTAGGATGAGCGGGGGAGGCTTCAGTGTACTCTGATTCTGTTTTCTTCCTTTTCTCCTCAATGCTGTCTTTTAAGTAGAAGAACCTACTCCTTTCTTCCAGAAAGCTCTTTCAGGAAAATGAAGGCATTTCTGTTTTCTAATCTCAGAGGATTTGCCAGGAGGCGAGTGAAAAGTGCATTGGAGAGGTGCAGCAAGCAGGAAGTCTGGGTTCTGGGTTTGCTTTTTTAACCTGCTATGACTGCAGACAAGCCATTTAAATGCCACCTTGTCACCTGTGCAGGCGCAGAGGCGATTTTAATGAGCAACTGAGAAAAGAAGATACGTATTAAGGGCCTGTCTAGTAGAATTTTGCAGCATTATTGAATTGTGGTGTAAATTCAAGGTCGTGGTGTTTTCTGACAGCTGATACAGCCCTCACTGTTAAGAACAGCTGTGCTGACAGGCCAGTTAGTGAAGTTGATCCTTCTTTGTAGACTCACCTGCCAGTGTTTTTGGCAGAGATCTTGGATATTAAACATCAGCATCAAGCATACTGAAGACTTACCACTTTTCAGCAGGATGGACTGTGTTTGTCTCACAAGCTTGAAACAGGATTCAGATTCTTTGCTGGTTGTTGGGATGTGGGGGGTGGTGAGGGGAGGGAGAGGGGAAGGTGGAGCACAGGGCTAGTTTGGGTGCTAGGGAGGAGGACAGTATACAAGAAGGGGGAAGGGAGTGGAAGAACCAAGCGTATGGGAGAACAATTAGGCAGGTTTGCATGGGCTAAGTGGGACAGAGGTAAAGAATGATGTATGCACAAACTTGGAACAGCAGGGCTCTGGGATACAGGGATTGAGACATGGTTGGAATGGGGAAAAGGAGCTCTGGTAGTGTAATGATTACGAATCGGGCTGCGAGCCACAGGTTAGCAGTTCAAAACTACCAGCGGTTCCGCTGGAGAAAGATGAGTCGGTCTGCTCCTGTAAAGATTTACAGCCTCGGAAACCCTGTGTAGGGTCACTATGAGTTGGAACCGACTCCATGGCACACAACAACAACAACGTTAAGATGCTTGGGTGTCTTTCAATCTTGGTTTCCCTGGCATACCATTATAAAATAGACACAGGAGGGGAGAGAAAGGAATAGCCAGAAGTATCACCATAGAAAGCTTGTAAGTCCATCTTCTGCCTATAACTGATTGGAATACTTAAAATGGGGCTATAAGGTGCCCATTGAAGGAGGCTTCCTGTGGAGCCTCTGCAATACATAAGACTATAGGTGGAATCCTGAACAGCATCCAGAATCTTCTGATGTGGGAAATTTCCACTTGAAAGGATAAGTAGAGCAGCCTGGAGCAGCTAGAAGAACAGAAGAAACCTCTGGAAGAAAGACCGACAGGAAAAATACAAAACAATATAGGCAGACCAGCTGAACAAGCAAGTTGCTCTCCCAGGAGACATCAAGGCAAGTGGTCGGGTCCCCTCAGAACAAACCCCCTTCCAAGACTTAAGATTCAATGTGTACTCTTATCAGTGACCATATTTGTCACCGATAAGGGGAAGTGAGGGAAAAACAGCAATGAAGCTGTGAGCTAAACCCAACAATGTTCAGTAGAGTCTTGTGAACCAGGGTGGAGACCTGGTTGGCCAGCAGTGTGGCAAGACCTGGGGACTCTTGGGCCCAGAGTCAGTGACATAGCCACAGAGGACAATAGTGGAGAGTGAAGTGTCCAGCGGATAAGAAGAGAGGGCATATGCATAAGAACACCCACACTTGCAAATAAAACCCACTTGACCTGGCTTTAATGACTGGATAATTAGAGCTCAACTAGAAGAAGAAAGAAGACAAAAAAAAGAGTAATCTGATACAATTTGATGAACTTGACCTACACCTATGGATGCAGTAGCTCAAAAGAAGGAATAAATTTTTATAGCAAGGATCATTCCCACCCCTCCATACACAGAATAGACAGGGATGGGCAACTTGGACATTGGCTATCCAAAGTGGGGAGGCTACAAAGACAAGAAGTGACTGGCTTACAAGCTTTCAAGAGGGATCTAGAAGCTTACAAGCTTTCTAGATCCAGAGAGTGTGGAGGAAGGTAGAATCTCCACTGAGTAATAGCCAATCTCTCTAGGCAAGGCTGATGAAAGTAGATGCGGAGAGGTCTCTTGTGATACAATAGTGAATAATTGTTATCAGAACTGATTGTGAGGGTTGGAAATGTAAAGGTTGACATTTTGTAGCAAAGAGGGGAGTGATTAACTTTGCAGTCTAGAAGCAGAGGTCCCTGGGACCATCGAGAAAGAAGAGCAGAGAGCGGGACCCTACCCAGAGAAGCAGTGATGCCAGACATGGAGGCAGAGATGATGCCGTGGAGAGATGGAACAGCTGGGGACTCCAGAATCAGAGAGGGCGAGGGGCTCTGTGCTGACAACCTGGGGGAGCAGGCTTGTAGGATATACCCTTTGGTTGGTTTGATGATACATGGAGGGGATTGTAACCATGGCAATGAAGCGATATATGATAGGATGAATATAAAACTAATGTTCTCCCATGTAAACTATCACATAATTCACAATAAAACATTAAAAAAAAAAAAAAAAAGAAACAGGATCCTGGTTGACATTATTATTTCTTTCTTTTTTTTCAGGTAAACACAGCTGTCCAGTTAATCTTGGTGGCTGCTTCTTTGGCAGCTCCAGTTTTCAATTATGCTGACAGCATATATCTTCAGATACTGTGGTAAGCTAGATTGAGAATTTCTGTTACCAGGTCTGTTGTAAGCGTCCTAGAATGACTTTGTTCTTAATGTTTATTGATCACTGACTGGATAAAGCCTTGTGCTGTATTTTATGATTGATAACACTCTTGAGCTTATGGAATGTACAAATCATCTAGTAACTTATATGCACAAAGAGGTGTGAGGTAGTGTACTGAGGTTTCTGAGAAGGGAAAGATATTGTTACATAAGGAAGAAGGAGGAAAAAGCTTCAGGTAGGCAGTGGTATTTGGTGGATTTTATATAGGGAAGCCATTTCAGGTGAAGGATAGACCCTGAGCAAAGACACTGTTGTAGGGGAGTAGGTGTGGGGAAGTACTTTCAGCCACTTGACTAGAATCTTATTGGTGAAAGGGTTATAGTAGGAAGGAAATGTGGAGAAAGGAATTTTAAAGTCTTCTTGTTTTTATTATGCAGTGTAAGCCAGAAAAAAATTGGTTAATCGAAATCAGTTAAGCTAAAGAATCTTTTTTGAAAATGATACACAATCTAATTTTTTTTTAATTGTGGAATTTCAAAGGGAATCAAGGGTTGGTTGTCCTGAGGGAAAAAGCAATAAAGAAAGCTGGCATTAATTTAACGTCACCCCTATACCTTCAGATTCTCCAATTCTTCAGGAATTAGTGCTCTATTCCATTAGGCAGTGTGTAGCAGTGGGGAAAGAGCACATGGGCTCTGGAATTGAGACCAAGCCAGGCCCAAGCATAGTTCTGTGGCCTGCACTTCCACTGTAAAATGAGGTGGTTATAAAGAAAAAACAAGAGCACACGACACATAGAATAATATTTGGTCAAAATGACAGTTGCTTGTATTACCATTCTTTTTAAGGGGATCATAAACTAGATTTTGATTGATATTAGTAATTCAAGTGAAGTCTTACAGAAAAGCAGTGTATTTCGATTCTTAAAGCTAAATATATATGTTAAATGCCATTAAGTCAGTTCTGACTCATAGCGACACTGTATAAGGGTTTCTGAGCAGCACCTGGTGAGTTTGAACCACCAACCTTGCAGTTCAAACTGAACTTGAGATTCAGTGCTTATCCTGCAGCACCATACCAGACTCCATATGTTGTTAAGTGCTGTTTAATCACTTCTGACTCATAGCGACCCTGTACATGGTTTCTGAGGAGCAGCTGGTAGATTTTAACTGCTGACTTTGTGGTTCACAGTCCAGTGCTGACCCTACAGCGCCACACCAGAAGTCCATACATACATATGTATGTATACACACACGCGCACACACACACACACACACACACATACTGTGCAACTCTCTATTCTTGATATACCTCTGTGAATGAGTCTATCTAATTGTTTGGGTTCCTAGAAAGGGGTAAATTAAATTTTTAATACTCTTACTGTTACTGCTTTTTAGGTGTGTCAGCTACACTCACGTACATTTCTCTCCTTTCACAAAAGGTGTTTCACAGCTTTCACCACAGCTGCTTCAGCTTACAGTTACTATCATTATGGTCGGAAAACTGTCCAGGTGATAAAAGGCAGATGAAAGCTATCCATCATCACTAGCAAGGAGGCAGTCTACACATCGTTGGTGGCAGGCCCATTTGGAAATCTAAAGGAGTGTTTCCATTTTGGTGTTCAGCTTGAAAAAGGACTTGTCAGAACAAACCATGTCAACAAAATTGAAGTAGTATGCATTGAAAGTAAGCTTGATCATGGGTATTTGCGGAATTTCCAATGTATTTTTAAATACAAATAAAACTATAATTTAGAGTTTTTTATCTTAGGTTTCTTAATTAATTTATAAGATGCCAATTATTCCAATTATTGTCAGTCACATTTTAAGACGTTTAAAAACAACAAAACAGGCTGGAGCATGAAAACTGGGGTTGCCACCTTGCTTTCAGTAGAATTTAATTACAAAGCACTAGGAGATTTTCTGGGTTTAAATATACATCCTGTACAACTTGACTAAATAGTTTTATGTTTGATTTTTAGATCAGTATATGCAACAACTCAACAGTACCTAACAACAACAACAATTCATGTGATTAATAGTTGATCATTTAGGATACTGACAGAATAAGTATAGCCTAGCTGTGGATGAAATAAAGCTGTAGAGAGATTAAAAATGCATTTCATTGTGGAAAATAATAAGATCAAACAAAATACCAGGGACTTCAAAAGTTCTTGGAAAAATTTCATTGTCTTTTAATTCCATTGTGCCATGAATGTTTGGAAGCCCTCTCGTTGCGGTACTGAAGTTCATGCTCAATAAAGACTTCCAGTTTCTCAGGTGCTTATTAGTTTATATCAGGCCAACAGTAACAAAGGTGGTCAGGAGGTGAGGAGGTGAGTACACGTCTGTTACTCTCTGCCATCCAGGAGGCAGTGAGTTGTGTCATGCCTCCCTTCTGTGTTTCTAGCATAGCAACATTTGTATGGTATTTGGAACTCATATTTGTGTGATATGTAAATAATATGAAACTGTATATTTTTCAAAGATTTTTTAAACTTTGGGGTAACTTTTTGTTGTTGTTGTTGTTAAGCTATTAAAGGAATAAAAGAGCTGGAAATAAACTTTGTTTCCTTGTTGCTAAGGTTATTGACACACCAGGACATTTTCTCTTTATACACACATGTGATGATGGCTCTCACCAATCGGATGACACTGGTTGAAGATGACATTCTGAAGGTTTCACTTTTCAGAAAGGAGTCATTTTCTTTGGGGCTGATTTCTTTTCATCTGTCTTGATAAAATATAAGGTGTATGGCTTATAGGAACAAGGAACCAAGAGGCTTGAGAGAAGGATCTAAAACACTAACTTCATATTGGTTCACAGACAACATTTTTCTGGTATGTTTTCTGTAGTGCATGGAGAGAAAAAGATATACTGAGTGGTCGTTGTTGTTAACAGTGTTGATGGTTAACCTATATCCCGTAGCTCTACTGCATTCTGACTTCTGTCTTCATAAATACTCTAGAAGTGGGGGTATGTCCTTATTTTACAGAATGAGAAAACAAACTTAAAGGTTCAGAAGTTTATGTAAGGTCATCAATCTACTCCACACTTGTCACTTTTTTTTTTTTTAATTTAGAAATTTATTGTTTAATCTACAAGCTTTATATAGCTTTAGTTTAAAAAACAAAAAAAATGAAAAACAAAACAAAACAAAAAACAGAAACAGTGAAAACAAGACACTATTTCAAAGTCTGGGCCCTTCTAGCCTTCCAAACACAAGAGCTCTGAAAACTGTATGCCAGTTGGAAGAACAAGACAAAATTAAGAATGAATCATGACATTTCAAAAAACAAAATTTTATATAACTTGAAGGATCCTTCCTGGGACTAGTTAATTGCTTTTAAAAAAGAGAGGACAAACAAAAAAACAAAAACACCCCAACAAAGTAGAGCAGAATGGAATTCCAGTGTCCCAAATCCATTTGTTGGGCATCAACATTAAGGCCAGTATCCTGGCAAACAGCATGCTCTCATCCTCAGGCCCATCCAAGAACGCCAGTCCTGATTCACTTCAGCAGAGACTCCGCAGGCAACAGGAAAGAAAGATGGTGGCATGAAAATGTTCATTTATACTTCTGTGGTAATTTAACCGTGGTCTATTTTTGGGCAAACAATATAAAGTTGGAAGCATAACTTAAATGGGTGCTATTGAAGACCCAACTGAGAAAGTTAAAAAAAAAAAAAGCCACTGAAACTAGCCAGAGGCATTTATTAAAGAAACCAATATGAATGATGAGAATGCCAACCATGTTTAAATCCCCCCCCCTCTTTTTTTTAAGTCCCCTTTTTTAAAAAAGAGATTTTTTTTTTCTTGGCTTAAAATTTTCACTCTAAATGAATTTATGTCAGCTGTCAATGACAAAAATGTCACTAATACACAGTGGATACCTTTTGCAATGTAAAATCCATGTCCCCTTTTTTTACATGGTGAACGTCAACCTAGTAATTATTACAACAAATGTTATAGTCTAAAGCGCAAACATTTTTTTTTTTTTCAGCCATTTTGAAATTCAATTGCGTACAAACCAAATAAAATTTACATCCTAACAAACATTTCCATCTAAGACTGTGGGGACTCTTTGAGCCTTCCTTATTGCTTTTCTAAGTCATCCAGGCGGTCTTCAGCTTCACTTTCAGTTTCCATCTTAGGTTCTGGCTCTGCCTCAGGCTCTTGTGCTGATGTGGTTGTGGGAGCCTCAAAGGCTGCAGCAGTGGCCTTCTGCTTATGTTTTTTGTGCTTCTTATCCTTTTTGTGTTTCTTATCCTTTTTCTTTTGTTTCTTTCCACCTCCTCCTTGGTCCGAGTTCCTTGCCGGTGATAGACTTGGTGTTGGACTTTTAGCCTTTTTGACTGGTACGGCTGGTGACTGAAACTGGATAGGAGATGGGGGTGCTTGGGGTTTTTTAGCAGCAGCTCTCTCAGGCGATCCTGAGACAGATGGAGAGGATGAGACCCTCCTTACAGACTGTGGGCTTGGTGAGGCAGCCTTTTTTGTCTTTTTAGGTTCTGGAGTCCTGGAGACTCTCCTAATGGGTCTAATACTTGGAGAACGGGACTGCCATCGTTGGGGTGATGACGAAGCTCCTCTTCGAATAGGGGGAGGACTTGAGGTGGTCAGGAATTTGAGGCTGTGGTGAGGGCGAATGCCGTTTGTTTGGTTGTGGTGACCGGGTCGCCCGGGTTGATCGGCTTGGGGAAGCCCCTTTCCTATGCTTTGACGACAGTGAAGGTGAGCGATGAGCGTCTCTTTATGGTAACTGGGAAGCTCCTTTGTTTGTGAGGTGGAGAGGGGGATGCACTTCGTTTTGGAGGAGGAGGAGAGGGAGAATATCTATCTCCTCTGTAATGGAGGAGAGTATCTTCTTGGGGAAGGTGAGCGCTGACGTGGGGGAGGAGAAGGAGTCCTTCGCCCCGGTGGTGGTGTGGGAGACCTGCTTCGCGGAGGAGGAGGAGCCGGAGAGAGGTGGGTGGTGGGTAAGGATTTCCCCTCCGCCTACCACAAGGAGTCGTTTTCGTGGTAATGGAGAGGCACTCTGGGAAAGAGAATGTCTCCGCCGCCTGCCTCCCTCACCGTTTTTCACATGGGACCTCTTGGGTTGCCCATCTTCTGAAGAAGACGAAGAGCCAGATTCAGATTTTGTCGCCTGTATTGGCGTCTTTGCTGCACAGAATCTGCTGCTGCCATTTTGCCACCTTTATCTTCTTTCGATTCAGATAACTCTTACTTCTCTAGGCTTGGGGGCTGATGAAGGGGACTCTCTTTTCTCTACAACTTTATGTTTTGTCACTGAACTTCTTCCCGGAGAGACAGAAACACGACTTTTTCATGTACGGTTTGACTGCTGGGATGTTGAAGAATGACGAGTTTTGGGCGGTGGAGTTGCTAGAGGTGATGGTCGGTGTTGTCGCTGAAGACTTGCTGAAGGAGATAACCTTCCGAATGGGGCTAGATGTCTTCTTGGGTGGCTTCTTTGGCAGAGACTGGGAACGAGACAAAGAGGATGATGAGCGCCTTCTTCGTCTCACTGGAGATCTACTTCTATGCCTTGGTGTTGGAGGCATCCATCTTGGTGGAGTCCTTCTTCGAGGAGATGGCCGCCTTCTCGGGCTGGGGCGCCTTCTAGGTAAGTAAGATCTTGATCGGGATCTATGACGCCTTCTAGGTCGTGTGTGAGAAGGAGAGCGAGAATTTGTCCGCGACCTTGATTTAGAACGAGATCGAGATTTTGGTCTCGTCTTCTTTTCTTTTTTAGAATTTTTTTCTGGAGAAGGTTCTTTAGGCTCTAGTACAGGTTTATGTTTGGGAACTTTCAGGATGTCACTAGTAGAAGTGGCCTCTTGTACTGAAGGTTCCTTTACTTTCACGGAAGTTTCTGGAAGCTCTGGAGTTTTCTCCTTTTCTGGAGCAGGTGAAGGACTCCGACTCTTGGTTCTTCTTGGGCTTCGAGACCGCTCCCTTTTTTCTCTGCTGCTTTCTTTTTCCTCCTTATCCCTTTTATCTTTGTCTTTATCTTGCTTTTTCATAGATGCCAATTTTTCTTGTTCAATTTGTCTGTTTTATTTCTTCTTTCTTCAGTTCTAGGAATGCCGAAGGGATTCCAGTGATGTTTTCTTGTGCACTTAACAATAGGGGCCATAGTTTTCCCATAAATTCTCTAGAATTTTTTCCATTCAAAAAACCAGTCAGGTTGATTTGCATCATTTTGGAATCTGGATTCTTTACTTCCAGCTGGTTGAATATAAACTCAAGCACAACATCATCTTCAAACCCAAGGATTTTTCTTAGTCGTTTTGTTATCCAAGGCTTTATAACCTCCAAATTTACTTTGCTCATGTCCACCTTTTTTTCTAGGCTTTCTGCAAATTTCAGCTGTTTCAGTAGCTTCTTCTGTTTGTTGCTGCATTTGTTCCGCGGAAGAATCCCACGTCCATCTTGCTGTCTCTCCCACACTCGTAACTTTTCCATGCGTAACATCACTGCAACTGAAAAGTATTGTTCATTGAAGATGTTTGGAGAGGTTTTTATTTCTTTATTTTTTTGGGTATGATAAGTGGAAGATACTGGCGTGGCACTGTAATTTTAGCACTGGACTGTTGTGAACCACAAGGTCAGCAGTTGAAACCCACCAGTTGCTTCTAGGAAATGCTATACAGGGTCACTATGAGTCGGAACTGACGTGACAGCACTTAACAACGACAATTGTAAGTTAAGTATGTTTGCAGAAAGAATCCTTATCCTACTGATAAGGATAGCATT